TGACTTCTACTGCATATCTCTTCTGTAGGTCATCATCCGATTTTAGTGCTCCCCAATTATACCAGGTTTTCTTGGGTTGCTTTTTTGCTCGTCGAAGAGATAGCTTGATCTTAGACAAAACAAATCTATGATCAGTACCCAATGTACTAAAGAAACTGTAGACTTCAGTGTCTTTGATACTGTTCCTCCACTTCTTCCTCACTAGAATAAAGTCTATCTGAGACTTATTCAGGGTTCCATCCGATAGGTGAGTCCACATCTTACCCCGCTTCTTTCTGAACCTGGTGTTTGTAATCTCCAGATTACATTCCAGGGCAGTATCCCGAAGCAGCTCCCCATTTCTGTTGGTTCTCTCATGGAAATACCAACCACAGTCATTCTCGTCCCTCTTTGATAGGTGAGCGTTAAAATCCCCAATCACCTCCAAGAAGTTGTGAGCAGGGATCTGCGAGACTGCACACCTTAGATCGTTATGAAACTTTTCTGCTGCTTCTACACTATCTGCCTCCGTAGGTCCATAGACACAGACGAAGGTTGGTTTAGGATTCCCATTGAGAGATATCTTAAGGATTCTCTCCGTCACTGGTGTTATCTCCGTAGTTGCGTCAAATGCCTTGCTTGTTAGGATGAATCCCACTCCGCCCACTGATGCCTGGGCCCTATTCCTAGTAGCTGATGAAGTAATTAGATAGCTACTCTTGCCAACTCTCTCTACTCTGACAGGCTCTTCATGAACTATCCTGTGCTCTTGGATACCTACAATCTCTGCTCCACTCTTCTCGAAAAGATGTACCATCTCCAGTTTCCTCTGGGTAGTTCTTATCGTTCTAGTGTTAAGAGTGCCTACCCAGGTAATGTCGGTACATGAAAATAAACTTTTTTTTTGTTGTTTTCGTTTATGCTGTTGGGTGTTTCAGGTTGATTAGGCTCATCATTCACCAACCTTCCATTCGGATTTAAGTTGGTGAAATCATTACCACCTTCTCGTCCAGAAACAAAAGTAGGGGCTGATACCCTAGTGCTGTAAGAACTATTCATCATGTTTCTTTTCTGTTGGCTATGTGACACGTGAGCCACCTGCGCCACTGGAATGGCTCCCTTGATAGCTACTTCATCAGTAGATGTTCCCACATACAGTAAATAAAACGGTAAGATGACAGATGGTGCTCCCATAGTTCCGGAATCTGTTACATCTTGATTAACCCACATCACCATCATCACGGGCTTGTTCTGAGGCTATGAAAACCTTTTTTGAACAAAGAACGAAAACTCGACAGAAAATTGGGATTCTACTAATTAACCTCATCAAGACAAGATTCAGTTGCGAGACATATGTACCTGTCGATCAACCTACGGCCACAGCAGACAGCAGACTAGGATTCCTATCACGTCGTGACCCCCATTGTCGTTTCACTATAGTGTAGAATTTTTACAATACAGGGGGAGCCGCGCTCTCGTGCGCGGCGGGTCATACAACGTATGACAAGCACTACCTACTAGGAGACTTGCGCATCTCAGAACAAGCTCGCATCAATACAACATCGAAACGAAGACACGGCATGCATCTCCATAAACTTTAGAATAGGGCATGTAAACACTGTTCTACTAAAAATGTGGAGTCATTCGACCTTCTTCTAGAGCTATCTTCTAGAGCTTCCTTTCCCTGATCCAATCATCGAAGATGAGCTTCATGTATTGCGCACTTACTTGTTACTTGTAGGTTTATAACCTACCAAGACACGCACCGAGTTGGACTCGATGAAACAAATATTTTACGAATATCATCCGTTAAGCACTTGCCATTTCTAAGTCTACGAAGATTTCCGTCACTGTTTGTCCCCACAAAGTAAAACATTACTCTTCTGATATTGCAATTGGACAGATCTTCAGACACCCGCCTACAACCATCGGAGACCTAGGAGTAGAACGGTTCCTTACCAAAGCTCATGAACGAAGATTCCCTAAAGCATCCTCTAAACAAATCCCTAACAAGAACAATATTGCGTAATTAATTAAGACTCGGAAAACTTTTATAAGATTTCATATTCAAATTATTAAAACAATAAATCTCATTCTGAAGATTTGCGGGGATTATTTTTTGTTTATTATACTTATAGTGGTTGCAATTTTATTCTTATTCTCTGATCTTGTATCTTATTAATTACTGGGCGGCGCGATCGCGCTCAGCTTAGCCTGTTATTCCGCCGAATCTTTATTCAATATGTTTATGAACATAATAGCCTGGGGTCCCCAGGTACGTAAGTATGTTATATACTTTTTAACTTTTGGGTTGCTACAAGTTGTAAATATATATTTCTCTCTTGCACGCGAAGCGTGCACTGCAGCCGGCAGCCGCAGGGGTTCCAGCGTGTGTGGTGTGTCAACTTTTTATTTGGGTAACCGTATATTCGTACAGGACCGTCGACGAGTCCAACTCGGCGCGCGTCCTGGTAGGTTATAAACCTACAAATTTGGAAGCCATTAAAGCATTTGACCCAGTCAACAAAGTTTCAGTTGTATATCTTTTACGGTTTTTGTGGAAAGTCGCGTTAAAGTTAATGCTGTGGTGTCAGTAAAATGGTACGGATCCATCCATCCATAAATTGCTTGCAGACGATGTAAACTGTTAATTGATCTTTGCAGCTCGGCGAGGCCCAGTAGCGCATTTCGCCGAGAAGCATTTGCTTGCATTTTTGGATGCGCGGCGCGGCCCAGTACACAGCTAGTAACGCATCGCGATACAACGTACCAGCGAGACGAAACTTTTGATGGTAAAATTTAAATATAAAATTTAAAGGAGCATTATTTTCAATATTTTCAATTTTAACACACGGGTCTCATCATGAGCGTGTAGTTAAGTTTTATAATCTCCCTGTGGCCGTTATTGGCATCGCAGTGTTTACGTTGACGGACGTTACTCGTCTAAATTTCTCCGAAGTAGCGCGCGCTACTTTCTTCTCGAAATATTACATGGCCCGATGGCAAGTGCTACGAAGTAGCGCGCGCCGGGCCAGTCGGCCATTAATAATGGCCAATGTTTACGGTCTGTACTGCGCGATCAACGACCGGAATTATTCTGCTCCTGGAATTTTTGCTCCACGATGGGACCACTGGAAGCGCATTGCACTAGAGATTTTTCGCGCGCTGAGTGTTGCCAGGCAAATATTTCATCATGATTCCCATTGGCTTCCAGCTCTATCTTTACTTGGCATATCATTATTTCATGTTTCAGTTTTAAAGAGAATCCTTTGTTCTGCATCCCAGTATAAATTTTATCAGTTAACTTTTTGATGAAGTTGACTATCAAATGTTCGTAAAGTAATCAGTTTTCGACAGACCACTGCAAGAGAACTTCATTTTTATCCTACCCAGAAAACTGAGAATATATTGGAAATCATCTCAACTTTATGTGTGCAAATTTTCAGAATGGCTCGACAAGATGGTTTCGAGATAGAGATGATCAAACACGATGTTTCTGTGTTATTTTAATACATTCGCGTGCAATTTTTAACGCCAATTTTAAGATGTAAGCATTGAAAGCATTGAAAATATTAGAGATTTGATAGAATAGTGCATTGTAACAGAATATAATAACACATAGTATTGGATAGAGTAGTTACCACAATAGCTCGATCATGAGATCAGAGGACTGTTTGGATGCTTTCAATGTGAGTAGTAAGCTGGGTGTGGGTTCGAAGCTCACCGGGGGTTGAAATCTTCGATTTCAAATCCCGGTGAGCTTCGAACCCACACACAGCTTAATGTTTTTGCTTTATCCATTAAGTTTATAAATATATATATATAAAGACATTGAGATAAACAAATTAGGTTATTAGTTAGATTAAAACACTACCACAAATATAATACTCCATCATTCACTTTATTACTGAGTACTGACACGTAATAAAGTTGACTATAAAATGTGCGTAAAGTAATCAGTTTTCGACAGACCACTGCAAGAGAACCTCATTATTAGCCCTCCCAGAAAACTCAGAATATATTGGATATCATCTTAACTTTATGTGTGCAAATTTCCAGAATGGCACGACAGAATGGTTTTGAGATAGAGATGATCAAAGACGATGTTTCTGTGTTATTGTAATACATTCGCGTGCAATTTTGAACGCCAATCTTAACAATATAACAATTGAAAATGTTATCAGTTTGATCGAATAGTGCATTGTAGCACAATATAATAACACATAGTATCAAAATGACCAGTTACCACAATGGCTCGGTCATGACAGCAAAAGACTAATTCTATACGTTGACACAAGCAATAAGTAAACTCAGTGTGGGTTCGAGTCTGACCAAGGGTTAAATTCTACGATTTCAAAGATTTCAACACCTGGCCAGACTCAAACCCACATCTGGTCGAATGCTTTTGCTTTATCTATATTATTTATAAATATAAGTTAAATACAATATCTTATTGAGATAAACAAATAAAGTCAGTAGTTAGATTAATACACGAACACAGATATAATCATTGACATTATTACTAACACGTAATTTGCCATAACTCCGGATTGGAAATATGTTCCCAAGGCCCAATTATTCTCAAACCCCATCGATATTGAAAGTCTGAAAATAATTCAAAACTACCACTACTTACTCTCATTCTGTTGAACAATCAGTAAGAAGAGTTCTGATGATTAAATGTGAATCCTATCTCAGAAAATGGATTCCATGATGCGTTTGATATTGGTTACGCGAACCAGGATTTGCTCCTTGATGAGCATTGTAGCGTTTCCCTTCAAAAAGCAATACTGGCCAGTGCGAAAAGCCTGCTGGCTTTGGATCGATTCATTATATTATATTCGACCGACCATATCATGCAGATTCAAATTTTAACTCTTAACTGACATTGATTGCTTTTTTTACAATTCATAGATTTTACATTCGCGCCTTCCGTAAAGTAGAGCAAGATTCTGAAATTTCAGCAGGCAAACTGGACTTTGTCAATGTTGTTGAAAGAGTTTCTAAAGAAGATCAAGAAAGTTACTGAAACGATTCCGTCTATCCTACATAACAGTCTATCCTACATAACAGTATTTTAGGCCTCGTTTGCAAAATTTTAGCGCACAGAATTAAACCAAGTTCTGCTGTGTTGCGAGCAGCGATAGAAGGAAGTTTTCTCCAACAGTTGAAGAGCGAGGGGTAGTGTGAACGAGTTCATCAGTTCATTCTTTTCTTTTGTGGCAGAATTAACTCCCTGTCAAAGATTAATAATGTGAAACGAATTTGAAACATAACCTCAGCAAGTCGTGAGTTGTGTCAAAATTGTATGATAGATAATAATCTCAGAACTTTCTAAATCTTAATAACATTTTTTCATCAGCATTGGCAAATAATTGGCAATAGTAATTTTGCTTCAACTTACATTTGTTCTCGGAGAAGGAATGTTACACTTTTACATGGTCCTGGCCTGATCGGCAATACTATTCGCTACTTTTCAGGATTTAATCCCTGAAATTTTGTACAATGCTAGCAGGAATTACGAAATCTATTCGAAGGTTATTTAGTTTGTTCCTCAAACCGCTCCACAAAATACTCCACAACTCCCTCTCTACTTCTCCCGCTCCCCCATCAACATTTCACTACCACTCCTCCCCCGCCCCCGAAGAGGAAAGGTCACCATTTCTACTCACACTCACAACACAGCACTCAGTCTTGGTCCAAGAAAGCAAAAGATGATCTACTCGCTACGGTACAGGAGAATATTTCTGCAATGGCCATCAATCTACGTTGGAAAGAGTTATTTGCTAACACTCAACCGACACTCTCAACAAACATTTGAAGTAGACTTACACCTGTGCTCCACGTCTAGTAGACCAGAGAAATCTGGGCCAAGACTTCTGAAATAGAGGAGATACCACATCCAGAGGATTAATACAAGCTTCTTTTAGCTTATTTAATCTTTTTGCCATCTCCAAGAATAAGTGGCTGTTATGATTTCTTTTCACTGTCGCTAAACGTGTAAACAATTTTATAGATATTCATGCCATACAATTGCAGTACCTACCTATTGAACCTATGAAAGTATTTTTACCTAGCAGCAGTAAAATCGGGGGGGGGGGGGGGGGGGGGGGGGGGGGGGGGCCGGGGGGGCCGGGGGGGCCGGGGGCCGGGGGTAAGGGATCATGTATTAACTGTTTTTAGGATAATAATTAAGACACCCACCCCCTTTTACCGGCTTTTGTGGTACTAACTGTTGAGAAATCACTGTACTATGTCTTAGTAGTAAATCTTTCAAAGTACGAAATATCTCTTTAAAAGAGCATCCTAGGCACCTTATAGATATCAAAACGCATAAAAAAGAAAACAAAAACATCAACCATCTTCTAACTTCTTCCACTCCTCCCTATCTAAAGCTAAAAATCTAAGGTCTTCGAAATCAGTCAAATTCTTAAGTCTAATATCAAGATTTCTACTAGTCAAGTCTTTTCTAATAACATCTAATAAGTTTAAACATGGTCTACCCCGTCTCCCTTCCATAAAAATATCAGAATTTATAGCAAATAACATAGAGGTGTATGCTGGTGAGTCTATGTTTATAAAATAAGATACCCACCCAGAAATTGCTTTAAACAGCTCATTAAATATGACTTTTTAGTTTTAAAAGGATCCGATATTGAATGTAAACAATGAAACTAACAGTTGAGATATCTATGCTTAATTAAAAACATACACTAACACACGCCCACATGTTTACAGATTACAATTACACACATGGCATGTATGTAATGTGTACTATACAATATACATATCACACATCATTTAAGAACCAGTAGTTGAAATACATTTTAAAATAAATTAAACACTGCACCTTCTCAAACGGAAAAGTCAACAAAGCCAAAGGCCACTTTTTAAAATTATACAAAAGATCAATCGCACTCTGTTTAATAAATTATATCTTAATTTACTAACTGTTTTTGGGCAAATTAGACCTAAGACTCACTATTTAGTAACATACAGTACAAACTGTTTTTCTGGGAAATGAGCAGCAGATCCACCACTTAGTACAAAAGTACTAACTGTGTTTTGGAAGAATATATGACACACCACCCCAACGTCACGTACAGTTAACAGTACTCAGTACCTGATCCCGGGGTCCCCCCTCCTCCCCCGGTAAAATATGACCAATATTTCTTTATCTAAGGACGTATTTAAAATAGTATTACAGTACTTACTAAACGGTGTGTGTCAGAGGGAGTTGTAAGGGCTATCAAACTAGGAATTTTAAGATGTTGCACAGATTTGTATTTCTGAGTTCTCCAGTCACCACTATTTCAGTCAGCACAATCTCTCTCTCTCTCTCTCTATTCTACGATTTTGGTATCATTAGCACAACAAATAACAATGTAGCCATTAAAGCAGCTAGCGAAAAGTAAGTTAATCCTAAAAGTAACGAAGCACATGCTCATTTAAAAACCGTCATTTACTGAGAATATGATCAAGCTTATTAGTAAAGATACAATAAGTATTATAAGCGTGGCTTGCCTCAAATTAAATAGATCAGAAGATAACTATAAACTGATCATGATTAGAACAAAAACAACACAGTGCTTGGTCGTTGTTTTAAAGTTTGAAAACAGTGCATGTGGCCTTCCATCAAGAACACGGAATTATGTGATCATACAAGAAAGACAGATCTTAATAATATTTAACATCATTTGCATCAGGCTTAGTTGTTTGAAATAAATTACCTCATACAGCTGAAGACCAACAATGATTGAAGAGGAGGAAAAAATATCAAACAGAATAATCATATGTATTGTGAGCCAACCAGGGGTAGATGAGGCATCCATCTCTCCAACGGTTTTGACATCATCGAAATCATCTTACCGTCATCTGAATAAAGGTCATGTTAATTATCTCAATTATACATTAGCCAGTTGCAGTATTAAATTAGCCAGATGCTTAGCAATGCGCATAAATGTGCTCAGTGCATTCTTGGAATTTTCACAAGTTTTATTTCAGCCCGACAATGAAAATAATATCAGATCAGTGGTACTTAGATCGAATCCAAATAAAATCAACAAAGTGGCCGCTTTTTATGCACAATTTTTAAAAAAATGTATATTTGGACTATTCATATGTGCACAGATAACTGCATCAAGGTAATGATAATAATAATCCTATACATTTGCATAATTGAAACAATTATGGCCCCTTATTGTGGGCAGAATATGTGTTTTTGTTGAAGTGTCCTGGTATAAAACTTATCTGAGTGACTGCATAGGGATAAATACTAGGACCTACTAAACTCAAAACAAAATGCAGCCACCTAATTAAGATACTGAATTATTTACTTCACTTTAATTATGATGGCCAAACGTGACAAGCTTGTATCTAAACAAATAAAAACTTGATCAATGATATGACGTACATGTAGCGCGTGGTCAAGCGCAACTAGCAGAGCCAAACGGAATAGAAATAGCGCAGTGCTTTTCAACAGTCCCATTATGTCACAGTTAATTATCAATCAAAATAACTGACCACTGATCAGCCCTACATTACATGACAAACACCCAACACTCATACTTTAATCAGAAACACTCACTGAGTGAAAAATGTAATACCTTGGGAACAAGAAATTTGGGATACATAACATTTTGATGCATAAGTGCATCCCTTTCTGATCTTCTGGATCAATTTTACAAAATACAGAGAACAATTCCAACACTATACCGGTTTTACATTATACAACTAATAGAATTCTAAGGATAAACACAATAATCTATCTTTCTAATTGCTATGTTAATTGTTAAATAGCAACATTTCGGGGTTGATTCATACTCTGCACTGCAAGGTTACAGTTTCATTTTAATAGAAATTTGAGTAATAATGCCTGTAACAATGTTTTAATAAATCATAGTGTGTTAAAGGATACAAATGGAGTGATGTGCTTTATGGCTACCATCATTGAGTGCATTGAGTTATGTAACCTAAAAGGTGTCCAGTTTTGGGTTGGGAATTGAGTGGGGCAGTATCTGTGCAGCCCTAAAACCAAGAGTAGACTTGGTTGTGGGGCTGCACAGATACTTCCCATGTATTATAGAACTATGATCATAATAAACTACTTTTAGGATAAGAGTGAGAAATAGTGAAACAAACTTTTTAGTGAAACAAATTTAAAATAATGCAAGGGTAGGGGTTACAGATAGTTATTATGACTTTAGGAACCTTAACCTTATTCCTAACCAAACTGTTGTGTACTCAATTTAAATGTCTAACTAGCCTTTAATAATGGTGGGTTGTCTTGGATACTGCATTTCCAACTTGGTGCACGCCAGGTTTAAAATAAAATTACTTCCCTCACTTGCTTGGATTAGATTGGCTCACTCCAATGTTAAGACTGCGTCGTCACCACTAACCAGTAGATTCATCATACATGAACTGTAGGCACCTAAATTGAATTGATTAGAATAAGTATGTCAAAGATTTCGTTTTCCCTAATAGAAGTTTCGATAGTAAATAAAAGGAAAAATGTGTCAAAATGTATTTAATATACATTCAATTAAATCAAGTGATGCGATTGGCAGAGCACAATCAAATTTTGAGTGTTGCAATTGGCAGAGCACAATATTTTAAATCTTTAACAATCTAATATATAAAAGTTTCAAAACGCATGATCTGCTCCATTATTTAGACTCCATTAAAGGGGCAGGGATGAGATTGTAGGAGACTTCTGATAGATGGATCTCATGTTTGGTGTCCACCTTCTTTCGCCGGTACTTAATTAAAAGAATATCCATTTGAGCATATATATTTTTACAATTGGTCAAAATATGGGTAAAAAGAAACAATAAACATATAATAACATTTATTGGAATGCGAGAATTTGTATTGTGGCAGGTGGTTGATTTAAGTGCTCCAAGAAATAATTTTACTTTACAATAGGCAATGATGAGTGGCAGGATTTTGTAGCCCACTAATAAACATTCATCTTCAAATCTTTCGAAAATGGCATTATCTCATAGAGCAATATATTCTTGGTTTAAAAAGACAACAAAGAAAATTTCAAAAGAAGCCTATAGAAGAAATTCTGCTTGTGTGCTTGTAAGAAATATCAATCATCTATACGATGGGAGTTGGGACATAAGATTAAAGGCTCATAATGTTAAGTTATAGAAGTCAAGCACATTGATGTATTTGGGACAAGCCATTAGAACTCACTGTACGGCCTCCAGTAGGAAAAATTGTGTGCTTCGTCATGGAGATGGTATGTGAGAATTCATAGACCTGTGATCTACAACAATCAATATGTTACCAATGATTTGAATATCTTTGAAAGTGTCAGATCGAGGATTCAATGAAATCTTATTTGGAGATTTTCACTTTATATCAAAGAATAGGTGATATGATGTTCTATTCTTCATATATGTATTTACAAAAGGTCGTGAGCATACAGTCTCAAGTCTACAAACATCATTTCCCGAAACTTGTGGACGATATCAAATTTAAAGCTGGAAGAATATCAGCCAACAATACAATTTGCTTAAATAGTAAAGAATACGAAAGTTAACATCAAACTAGGCGGTTTGTTTGCTCATAAGTAGTCATTTCTTCTGCATTAGAATTAGCGCTCGATTCATCAGGCTATCTATCTATGCATAACAATAAAAATGTATACAAGCTATATTAAAATGACTCTAGATGCATCAATTACCAAATAATTAATTGTTTCAAAATTTATATACTGTGGTCGTACGTCGATTTTTTAATTCAAAACATGGAAATAGGTAGCGCATGGTCGCGCGCGCAACAATAAGATCGCATTTGTGATTTCAATATTTTACATGACGTACGCGTAACGCGCGGACGCAAGCGCGACTAGCAGCGCCAAACGGGATAGAAAATAGCGCGGCTCTATTCAACGTGGTCCCATCGTGTGCTCTATAGTAATTAATAAATGTGACATGTAATTATAAAATAACAATTTAATAGACCCTGCGCGCGGCGTTTACAACCGCACCTAAAGATTTCTCAACAATGTGTGGCTGTTTGAGCGGCGGGCTGTGTATATATGGTTGCTCTAACCAGAGCCCTCTCGCTTGCAGTAGCGCGCGATCGCCGTAGGCGGCAAAGGATATATTCATTTTGTGAAACAAGCGCGTCACGCAGTACGCGTATACACATGGCTATGTGAATAAATATGGTTGAATTTCGAATTTGAATTTATCTATGAATATATTGCTCTATCCAGAGCCCTTGCACTTGCAGTAGCGCGCGCCCGCCTCACGGCGGTAAAAAGGGCTCTAGCCATGAACCCACCCAACAATTTTGGCACCACTGTACAGTGGTGCCAAAATTTCCCGCGCTTTTGTCGTCATATGCAACGTGTGTAGCCTTTCAGACATTGATTGCGTAAACGAGGGTGTCGTACGTCACCTATTGATTCACGATGTCAATCCTTCGCAGCTCGGTGAGGCACAGTGGTGCATCTTGCCGATCTACCGATCTGTGGTTGCGAGAAGCATTATAATAATATATTTGATGCGCGCGCGACCCAGTAGTGCATCGCGCTACAAGTCACCTAAAGATCAGGTGACAGGGGGCTGACCATGCCCAAACCTAATTGATCATTGATTGGGTCTGAGGTCACGTAATTATGAGCCTATGAGGTCACGTGACTATGACGTCACCAGACCTTGTCCTCCGTTTTCCGCTCATTGGACCAGGTGAGCTTGCATGCTTGTCTTATTTGCAGACGATACTAATATATTTGTCGCTGCCGATTCGAGAAATAAAGCATATGAATTGGCTAATGAAGCACTACAGGCCGTAAACAAATATATGGGAGTTAACCTACTGCACATTAATGTAAAGAAGTGTTGTTACATGTATTTTTCTCCCTCTAAACGTAATAATAACGAATTAGATGCCGATATAGATAGCCAAAACTTGTCCATTAATAACAAAATAATTAAACGTGTAAGTCAGACAAAGTTTCTCGGAGTAATCATGGATGATAAATTGAGCTGGAAACCACATATATCATCCCTCAACAAGAAACTAAGAAGTGCTTGTGGACGTATCTACCGTATTAAGAAATGCTTACCAGAATCACTATATAAACAAATATATCATTCTCTCTTTGAATCACACCTAGGTTATGCTATTTCTGTCTGGGGAGGTATTCCCAATAATCAGTTAAAACCACTATTTATTACTCAAAAGAAGTGTATCAGGATTCTATTTGGAGACTATGAAGCTTATGTAGACAAATTCAAGACATGTGCTAGAGCAAGACCAATTAATTCTCAACGTCTAGGATCTGAATTCTATGTTAAAGAGTCCACTAAGCCTCTATTCACAAAACATGAATTACTTGTTACAGAGAACCTGTACCGATACCGTTGTTTAATGGAACTTTTTAAGATCATTAAGTCACGAGTACCAATTTCGTTATACTACTTATTCAACATATCAAATAGGAAAGATAATCTGTTCATTACACCCTCTCCAACTAATCAATTTATTTATAAATCTGCATGGCTGTGGAACGAATTCCGTAAAGTTGGCCCGTTAAATTTCACCTCCACATGCGGATCTGTCAAGAATTTACTTAAACAGTCACTTCTAAGAGCTCAAAACCGGTATGGAACTGAGTGGTGCGACAGAAATTTCACTGAATTCTGATTATGAAGTGATATTCATTTGCCTGTTATTCCCACATAAGCACTTACTGACTGACAAGCTTATCTATGAATACCATGCTTGAATTTAGGTAAACAACATACAACTCATTCCCAGTAACTCTGAGCGCAACCGCCGAATGACACAGTAATATGAGACCGCGCATAGCATTGCGCGCCCATGCTGTGCGCGTCGCGTTGTCGGCCGAAACTTGGGAAGTTCCCGCTCTAATATTCAGACGACAGTGATGACTCATTAAGAGCACTAATTTCGACCACTTTCCCGGTCGAGCCATACCAAATCAAACTAATTGACCCACGTGTATAGCCAATGTCCTGGTGGTGCTGAGCCGATGTAAAACTCTTCTGTAAACTCTTTTGTCTCTTGTAACTTGTTTATATTTTATATTTTAGTTATACTGTGTACTGTGTACAATAGTTATAGCGTATAGTGTGTGTAGTGTGTAGTGGTTATTTTGTTGTGACGTGTCACTTTATACTTTGCTACCAACGTCAGCCTTGACTTACCATTTATTGTAATTGGTACAGCATATATCAAAACTAAAACACTGTTTTCGATCTGACGGGTGATGGGCTCTCTCTGATGGGACACAGTTCTAGGGGGTACCCGGGGTACGAGTTAACGAATAGTGTTCGTGTCCTTCCACAATCCCCTCTCATTGTGTTTTTGACGGAGGAGAAGCCTAGTTCATCCGTCTGCATCGCTTAATCGAGTTGAAAATTTAGCCAATAACAAACTAAATTACATGTTAGACTGATAGCAGGTGTGGAGTTTATAACATACAAATTCTAAATTTTTGACGGCTGACGATGGTAAGTCGCTACGTTTAATTCGGGACTTTTATAGTCTTAAGTCTTGAAGCTCAAAATGTCTCGTGCTGTGGGCCGTATAAACGGCGCACACCACCGCCCCGCCTTACTTCACGGTTGCGGGGCGGAGCTGGTGCCGTTTGTCTCGGCCTCAAGTGGCGAGTGCTTGCCCATCGAATACACGATTATTTATTGGAATTCTACAGTTTCCAAAACGAAGTACGAAGATATATTAACTTTGAGCTTTGTTTTGGCGACTGCTTCATCGATGGGCGAGTAGGTATTTGTTGTTTAGCAGTGTTGAATATTGGAGCAATTATATAATGTATATCTCCATCATAATATAGGCTAGTGTAAAGATATATAATCAAGAATACAAACAAACGCGAACGGTATTAGTAACTCGCTAGATTATAGATGTTATTTAAACACATATGTTTACGTCAATTATTATTAAAATTAATATTCTTTTTGCTTTAATATAATTACATTGTACATGTCACATGGATTAATGGATTAGTTGAATGAAACGTGTGCTACAAATGTCTACGCCTCACGCAGAACTGCGTACCGCTCAGTACTAATTCATGCTTGAGCGGTACTGCTGTTCACAGTGGCGCGCACTCAATTTAATCACAATAAATAACGAGCGCGCGGTTTTTTGGAATCTCTCCATTATTATATTAATTAGATCGCAGTGCTCACGGCCTGTACTGCGTGAACGACAGAAATATCTTTTAAATTATTTTGCTTCTGAAATTTTGGCTCTAGTAATTAAGAAATGTGACATGTAATTGTAAGTTAACAATTAAATAGATCCTGTGCGCGGCGCCTACAGCTGACCTACGAATTTCTGAACAATTTTAAATTGTGGCTGTGTGCGCGGCGTACTGTATATGTGTTTGAAATTGAAATTTGAATTTATTTATGAATATAACATTATGTATTGATTATTTGTGGTAAATAAAA